TTGTGCTTCATGACCCCCACCGATTTATTTACTCGTTAATAAAGATTATAGTTCTGTTTGTTAACTGCGCAGTATGTACATCAGAGCTAACCTTCATTAAACAAGTCCATACATCTGGGAAGTGTAACTGTTTAATGCCCCCGTCGCCACAAAGTTTGTAGACACTCAGGAGTCAGGTTGCTTCCACGCACTCATTTGACCTCATGCAGTTGCAAACATCGTCGTAAAACTTTTACTGAACTAAAAACTAAAGGCTGGTTCCACTCTGTCTGTAAAAAGCCATCCTAGGCTGAGAGACATGCATAGCCCAACCGGAAATACCAAGATATTCGACGAAAAACTCTTACAAAACTAAAAAATAACAAAACTAGATCTAAAGATTTTTTCGACTCTGCCTGTAAAGAGCCATCCCAGGTTGAGACAGATACAAGGCCCCAGCTGAAAGGCCAAGAAACTTGACTAAAACTGTCCCTCATGGAAGTCTTAATGGAAGTCATTTCTTGTTTATAAATTGAACTGCGAAGAAACGCATAGCCACTAGATTCATTACCATAGTTCGGTGAACATATGGATTCTTCCATGATAAACCCGATGAAATAGAAGAAGTTACAATAAATGTATTTTAAAAATAATAAGTACATAATTCCGTTCATAATATACACCCACCTTGCGATCGACGTTTCCAGTTCATATCCTATACGTTTGAGCTACTGATAAACTGGGCCCGCCCAGAAATTGGATATTTCCAGAAGAGAAGAGAGCATTTTGCTTTGGATCCCCAGCCATTGCCTTCAGCGGTTGCTTCCAAAATATTTCCCTTAAATCACGAGATATTTTCCATAAACTAGACGCAAACTGTTGCTAACAGGGCAGTTTATTCTTTCTGTTCCCTGAATCTCCGCAAAATTGAATATCTAAGACATGAGGCGTTGTGAGATGTGAGACCGCGGTGTGGTCTAGGGTGTATATTTCTCCCTGTTGGCTCGGCCAAATGTTTTCTGGAAGATCTGCTGTGTTTTTGTCTATGTGAGGTCTGTTAGCCAGAGCTACAGAGGTGGGGGTGTGACCGGGG